TTTCCTCAGCATTTTAGCCCTTGGATAGCACACCTACATATCTACAAACTGATTCATTACACAAATTACATGTCTCAGATTCAGATTTTATCATGTTTGATGGCATCCTGTATAATTTTACAAGCCTTATTTTTGCTCATTTAGATCACTGTAATTATTTCATTACAAAAACAGAAACATGCCCATTTTAGGCTAGTTTACAGATTCCAATAAAAACAAAGTTCTTTCATAATGCTAGTACCTAGACACCACAGTTCAGTGCATGTCCAGCATAAATAATATTAAAGTCACTGTAAACAGGTACTTAAAATTGTATGGCCTATTTATAAAGTAAACATCTTCTAGTGGAACTCCCTTACATTTAGAACTCTAAAAGATGGTCAGGCCTTGTTATTTGTTATGGGGAGACTTTTGATCTGTAGACTAGAGGCCATCAGTGCATCTCACAGTAAAGTTAAGACTGCAAACAATTCTGTCTTTACAGCCCAACTATACAGATATCCAGTATTACTGCAATCACTGGAGAAATTTTGATGATGTTTATGATTCCTGGGAAAGCATAAAGCGTATCTTGGCCTGGACAACATTGAACCAGAAGGAGATTGTTGAAGTCGCTGGACCAGGGAGTTGGAATGACCCAGACATGGTAAAGACCTGAGCCCTCCTCATTTAAGAGCTGGTCGCTTTTTTTTTTTTTTTTTTTTTTTTTTTTTGGTTTTTCGAGACAGGGTTTCTCTGTGTAGCTTTGCGCCTTTCCTGGAACTCACTTGGTAGCCCAGGCTGGCCTTGAACTCACAGAGATCCGCCTGGCTCTGCCTTTCAGAGTGCTGGGATTAAAGGCGTGCGCCACCACCGCCCGGCTGCTGGTCGCTTTTTTTCTGTTGGTGCCTGGCTCTGAAACCAGGGCCTAGCACAAACCAAGCAATGTTTCTAGCACTGACCTACACACCCAGCCCTGGGAAGAGGCTCTCTGTGAGCACTTACATCACAGTGCTGTGGAAAATGGTTTCTCTCAGTTGACCATCTAGGAAATTTTTCAATTGTTCCAGCAGGCATTGGGTAAGCTGGTTAGAGTCTCAGCACTCCAGAGGCTGAGACAGGAGAGTTGTTCCAAATTCAAGGCCAGAAGGTTAGCCTGGACTACATAGTAAAGACCCTATCTCCAAAAAAAGAAAAGAAAAAAAGAACTGAGGGGGCCCCTGCAGGTATCCTGTCAGAGAAACGAACCTGCAAAGAGATGAGATTGAAAACCTGGTGCAGATTGACTTCGTCAGCCTGGATCACTTTAGGGAGTCTAATGCCAGGCAGTTCACTGTCAACATATTGAAAACACTACAGTTTGGGTAAAGGCTTCCAGGAAACCATCAGTCCAATTCCAGGTGCACAATAAAGCTTAAGGTGTGACTGCATAGAAACTTTTACACAGTACATGTGACCCGTTCTATAGCTAAAGGACCTAGAGTCTAGTGTGGTCTCTGACTGATAGCATAGAGGTCAGCGGGCCATAAAATACATGTGACATCTCCCCTAAGGATGGATAATGGTCTAGGGAGGGAAGAGTCTGGGATAATCATTCTGGGGGGTTTGAATGAGATCTGCCTCTATAGCAAAAGGTGGGTGAGGTCTGCCTCCACAGATAGCAACAAAGTCACCAGTTTGTTAACAAAATCCACTCCCAGCCTTCTGGACAGAAAAACGGGTATTTTATCTCCTCAGTTGAGAAGAGGCCCTTGTGTGTTTAACATTCCTGGCTTTCCTTAATGCCTCCCTGAGTACGAGGACCTCTGTACCCTCAGCAAACAACAAAAACCCAAATAGTTGAATCTTCTCTCATCTGAATTATTTCCCTCTTTGTCATAGTTAGTGATTGGCAACTTTGGCCTCAGTTGGGACCAGCAGGTAACTCAGATGGCCCTTTGGGCTATCATGGCAGCTCCTCTACTCATGTCCAATGATCTCCGACAAATCAGCTCCCAAGCCAAAGCTCTACTTCAGAATAAGGATGTAATTGCCATCAACCAAGACCCCTTGGGCAAGCAGGGGTACTGTTTTAGAAAGGTAAGTAATACTTCCTGACCAGGAGTATACTATCCTGCCTTCAAGTTTATGATTTGCACTATTTGTGATGGCCTTTTATCAAATTATCTCAAGCCTAACTGTGCTATATGAAGAAATGATTGGCTTCTTTTCTCAGTTATATTTCCCTTGAACTTGAGAACCATGTAGTTAAATAGTAAGACTTTGTCAGAACTGTTACTGGGTTTTGTTTTGTTTCGTTTTTTCAATACAGGGTTTCTCTGTGTAGTGCTGGCTGTCCCGGAACTCACTCTGCTGCCCATGCTTGTTAGAGGGTATCCACCAGAGAAAACTACTCTGACAAGAGCTTAAGCCAATAGGAAGGTTTTTTATGGTTTTTCCAAGACAAGTTTTCTCTGTGTAGCTCTGGCTATCCTGGAATTCCTTCTGTAGACCAGGCTGGCCTCCAACTCAGAGATCCTCTTACCTCTGCTGGGATTAAAGGTGTTCAGGATCCCAGTGTTTTTGTTTTTTGCTTTCCAAAACAGGGTTTCTGTGTAGCCCTGGCCATCCTGGAATGCCCTCTGTAGACCAGGCTAGCCTTGAACTCAGAGATCCACCTCTATATCCGGAGTGCTGGGATTAAAGGTGTGTGCCACCACGCACAGCTAGACATTACTTTTTAATTTCTAAAATATGCTGCTGGCCAATTTTAATTTTTCCTCCAAGTCTATGATAGTTCTGACAATAAGGCTGAATATCAAATAAGGCCAGTAATGGGGTTCCCACATGTTCACACTTCTTTTCTTGGCTTTTTAGGAAAACAACATCGAGGTTTGGGAACGACCACTCTCAAACTTAGCCTGGGCTGTAGCTGTGAGGAACCTGCAGGAAATTGGTGGACCTCGTTCTTACAGCATCCAGGTTGCTTCCCTAGGTCAAGGAGTAGCCTGCAATCCTGGCTGCATCATCACACAGCTCCTTCCTGTGAAAGTACAGCTAGGCTTCTATGGATGGACTTTAACCTTAAAATCTCGAATAAATCCTTCAGGCACTGTCTTGCTTAGGCTAGAAAGATAAGTTAGACTATCTAAAGGCAGAGATGTACATTAAATGGTCAGTTTTGCTAAGGACTACTTCCTGTCTCTTTCCTGTTTCCCCTTTAAAGTACCCCAAAGTCATGGCCTTTAAAAGCTACTTCAAGGTAAGTTTTTGGAAAGGCTTTTGAAATAAAGTGGGTACTCCTGTGCCAGGCACTATAACAGATGCTTCAGGTATACTGGTCCATTTTAGCCCTCATAATGCTGAGTCCGGTGTTCCACCTACTGGATTCTGTAGGGCCAGGATTAAAAAAACCAAAACTTTTATTTTTATGTGTTGAGTGTTTTGCCTACATGGATGTGTGTGCTCCACATGCATGCCTGGTGCCGTGGTGGCTTATAATAAGTTTTGGTTTTAATCACTGGGCAAGCTTCAGTGAAACATTTCACTATTGGGATAAGAATTTGTACTGTATCAATCTGATAATAGAAAAAATAAATGTCAAAAAAAAAGAAGTCAGAAGAGGGCATAGGATCGTCTGGAACTGGAGTCGGCGATGGTTGTGAAGCAAGTGCTCTTGATCACTAAGCCAGCTCTAACACATAAAGCAAGGGATTTAAAGCCAAGCCAACCCCACACTGATTGCTAGGTGAGGTACTTGGTGTGGATTGCTTAGTCTGGTGCAAAGAAAAATGAAATCAGCTTCCTCGGTTAAAGGATTGAAAACATGCCAGGGGATGGGCTGGCCCTAGTGGCATACCTTTAATCCCAGTACTTGGGAGCCAGTGCATTAACTAAGACACCAAATGATGAACTGCCCTATTGACAAGCTGGGGCATTCAAGCAGTTTCTAGTAAATTAGTAGACATTCTAATCCGTGAGAACAAACTTGTGGTCAAGGTTTCAAAACTGCCCCTTTGCTATCTTTTTTTTTTTTTTTTTTTGGAGACATGATTTCTCTGTATAGTTTTGGTGCCTGTCCTGGATCTCACTCTTAGACCAGGCTGGTCTCGAACTCAGAGATCCACCTGACTCTGCTTCCCGAGTGCTGGGATCAAAGGTGTGCACCACCACCTCCTGGCTGCTATCCCATTTTTCACTACTCTTCTCACCAAGAGGTGTGCATATACATAATCACAGGCATTCAGGAAAGCTGAAGCAGGTTTGCAAAGACTGAGACCAGCCAGGGCTATGTAAAAATCTCAATCATACACACAAATTCATGAGCAAACATGTACCTCTAATTCAGAATATATACAAAATGGTGCAAAAGCACCCACCTAAAATACTGAAGGGGGCAGATAATTTTCAGGAAAAGCCTATTGACCTGGGTTTGACCCTGGAACCCTTGGTAGGAGAATCAACTTTCAAATGTTTGTTTCTGACCCCCTGTATTCACATTCATGCAAAAGAAACAAGCTCAACCCATACATGGGCCAGAGAACTAATGCAGCAGGTTAAGAGCAGTGGCTGTTCTTCCTGTAGACCCAGATTAATTCCTAGCACCCACAAGGTGGTGGGTTTGTTGGGGGGCATTTCAACACAGTAAAAATCTCACCTGATGCTTGCAGACCTCCACTGCTGTACCTAACTCTAAAGACATGGGTTTTCTCTCAGTATCTCCTCCCTCATCTGGTTCCTGCTGGGATTCATATCTTGCCTGTGTTCCTCACACTAATAAACTGGTAGAGGGGCCTCCTTCTAACTGCCAAAAATAAATAACATTAAAAGCTAAAAAAAAAAAAAAAAACAACTCACCTGAAAGGTATGTGGCTCTAAGTCAAGATGTTTAAAGGGACATAACCTAAAACCAATAATGTACATTGGAGTGTACTATGATGCCTAGAGAACATAGCCAAATCTCCTTAAGTAGCAAAGATATAAGTCATATTTTACGCCGGCTCAAAGTTCAATCCTAAAGTAGTACTCAGACACCAAGCAGAAACTCAGAGAATTTGTTTATTCCCTCCCCCAAAACCAACTGCAATCGTAAGAGGTGAGTACAAGCTCATGATTTTACTGTCTTCATAACAAGATCAGCTTAGAACTGGATCACCTGGCCCTGTAAACAGAACAGAAAAACAAAGTGTTGTGTTTTGTAGTACCTTTTTTTCCTGAGACAGTGTTTTTCTATAGCTTTGGAGCCTGTCCTGGATCTCGTTCTGTAGACCAGGCTGGCCTCGAACTCACAGAGATCTGCCTGCCTCTGCCTCCTGAGTGCTGGGATTAAAGGTGTGCACCACCACTGCCTGGCCTGCTTTGTAGTTTTTAAGGAACCTTACATTATCCATGGTCTCGACACATAACTTATTAGTTGGTTGCCTGCCTACCATGGCCCTGGGTTCAATCCAAGACCACAAAACACTTCCAAGGAGACCATGTTGCCTCTTCCTTCCCTAATTGTAGCAAAATCTATACACTGAAATCTTGAAGCCATTTAGATATACTGGTGTTCAAGATTTTCAATTTTTCAGCCAATAAAGCACACGAAAAATCCACAAATCTGAAAAACAACATAAAAATAAAATACTCGCTGGGCGGTGGTGGCACACACCTTTAATCCTAGCACCCGGGAGGCAGAGTCAGGTGGATCTCTCAGTTTCAAGCCAGCCTGGTCTACAGAGGGAAACCCTGTGTTCAAAACAAAACACGAAAAGCTCCTGGTCCCAAGCATTTCAGATATGGGATATGTAACTTGTACCTTCAGCTGTGGACAATTATCTTTGATGGTACCCTATGGCATAGTAAGCTCAGAACAGTTACCCCTACGGATAAAGCAATTATTTAAAAGAAGGGTACCTTTCTCTTCTTATCGCCTCCCAGTTCAAAGTGCTTGCATCTCTTAATAGCCAGCATCCTCTTTGATCTGCAGTTGGGCTCAACACACTCAAGTCTCAGCACAATCTTCTTTGTCGTTTTAGCCTACAAAAGAAATGAAGTCAAATCCTTCACAAAATTACATTGTTGCCACGATCTGTATTTAGCTATGGAGGAAAAACAAAAACCCAGAAGCCAATGATTTGGAGAACTTAATAGTAACAAAGCTGAAGCTTATGTGGTTGTACGTGCCTGTGTTTCCAGCACTCTGGAGATGGAGACAAGTGGCAGCCACATGAGTCTGAGGTCAGCCTGGGCTACATGGGATTGCCACCCCCTACACACACACACCCAAAAAAAGCTACTTTAAATTTGTAGCCCTTCAGGCTATTTGTGTTGTTTACTGGTTGATTCAAATAAAAGCCAGCCAAATTCACACAAATATGAAATAAAACGTATGGAATTCACCAATCAAATTTTAAGACTTCAATTAGCCCTAAAGTCAGTTAACACTCACACCCCATTAATAATCAACTTCTTCTTTTTTTTTTTTTTTCCCGAGACAGGGTTTCTCTGTAGCTTTGCGCCTTTCCTGGAACTCACTTGGTAGTCCAGGCTGGCCTCGAACTCACAGAGATCCGCCTGCCTCTGCCTCCCGAGTGCTGGGATTAAAGGCGTGCGCCACCACCGCCCGGCAATAATCAACTTCTTAAGTCCACCATTTTAGCCAGTTTTGTTGCTAGTTTGCAATCTGAAAGCTGAAACACATAGCTGTCTTCCAAACAAACTGGCTGGACATTTAAATGAACAAGCATTCTCATTACCCTACATCCAATCCAGGACCCAAAGGAAGTCACTCATTTAATTTCTACAAGCAGGCTGGCAGAAGAGGAAGAAAGAGATGAACGAAGAAATGCTATGTTCCAAGTAGCTGAACCTTAAGGAACCTCATTAAACTGGAGAAGAATCCAGAATTCAGCCAGTGGAAGGCCTACACACATACTGTAAGAAATTTTAAGACTTCATGAGACTTGAGAAATCCAAATATCCTTCCATGGCAGTACAGGGAATTGAACCTGGGCTGCCCTCATACTTGGCAAGCACTCTACCACTGAGCTTCCAGCAACAAAGAGCTGAGGATTCAGACATGACAATAAATGAATGAAAGGTCTTGCTGGTGGACACATAATTCAGTTCTTAGGAAAGCAGGACATATTCCTTTATTTTTGCCTTTTTAGGGGGTATTGTAAATACTGAGATGCTATAGTCTAGATTATAGTCAGATCTGAGTTGACTCCCAGCTCCACTGCCTTGGAAACATCCCTGGCACAAGTGGGATAACTTTGCTGTAATTAACACTAGTAACGCTTGGAGACAAGAGATGACAAATGCAAGGTCCTTCCCACAATAATCAAGGAACATGTCAATTAGTAATCACTAACCTTTTTGCGGAAAATAGGCTTAGTCTGCCCACCATAGCCGCTCTGTTTCCTGTCATAGCGCCGCTTTCCTGGAAAAAGTCATTTGTTATGATATGCTACAGATCATATGTCAAAATAGCCACAAGGGAAAGTCTTAAGTTTAAATTGGAGCCGCCCTGCATTAATAAATTTTGGTTGCACCCAAGGAGGAGGAGGGGGAATATCTGGACTTGTTACTATGTCTCATAAATGTCACATCCAAACCAAGTTATTTACTCCGGCATGGCAGGAAACAGGCACAACTCCAACCCTTCAGAGGTTGAGGCAGGAGGATTGCTTATTCCAGGCCAGCTTGCTTTACATAGTTGGCCTTTATCTCCCACAAACTCCCCATCCCCGCCCCCTAGCCACCACCACCAAACTACATATAAACAGCTTACCCTGAGCATACAAAGAATCCTTGCCCTTCTTGTACTGGGTCACTTTATGGGGTTGGTGCTTGCCACATTTCTTGCAGAACGTCCGGCGGGTCTTAGGAACGTTCACCTAGTAAAAAGTGTTCAGAACGTGCCGTTACCAGACCACAGTGGCCCAGCACCCTCCCTGGATCGACATGAAACTGAATAACTCTACAGCTACTCACTAAAAACACATCGACCATGTAGATCTAAAAGTTGGTCCAGTCACACGCGCCATCAAACAGCGTATCCACCCACAGCTAAATCAACCCATCACTTCAATTCTTCCGCCCATAACTCGGTTCCCTGTGTGTCGCTCTCGGCAATGCTAGATTTCTTAGGTACATCGAGATCTTGCCAGAGCCTTGATGTACTCTGGGATAGTACTGTCTACGCCGGGAGCAAGGATTAAGCTGGATACTACGAAACCCCGACATACAACCATACCATGTTGGCGGGAGCGATATCGGCACAGAAAGAAAGAGGCAAGGCCAGCAACGGAAGTTTATAGGAGGTGCCTGAGTGCACTTCCTCAGAGCCGTGGGAGACAGCTACCATAGAGTCTGTAAGGATCCCAGCGCAGCGCCCTCGGATGGCTGGGATGATTTATCTTAGCCGCGGACAAGCGCTTCAGCCGAGGCTCCGCCTAAAGTCTGTGGCTCTGTCCTCCACTTCCTCCCGCCCAGCGCCCCGCATCTTCTTTACTCCATCCGTTTTGGCGGACGTTGCAATTTAGCAGCTTAAGCGACGAAAGCAATGCTCTTCCCAGACTCCGATCTGCCGTGTTGAAGCAGAATAGGGACTAGGATCAAGTGGAGGGGTCTTCCATCTCAGCCTAACATTCTCGTTCTGTTTCAAGGAGACTGAAATGATCTTTCACGGCAAACTGTGGCTCAAGAAAGCCCTGGGAGGGAGCCAATTGCTTTAGTTTGCTTATTTAATGTCTGTTCTGTTTCAAGCACTGTTGTAGGAGGAGGACATAGTAATTGATTATGCTCATCACTGTCCAATTCCAGGCTAAGTACTTTGAAGGAAAAGAACAATGCAAGCAATACCCTTTTAGCCGAGGAAGTAAATTGGCTGCTCTTAGTTCTGAAAACTGACAGTGAATTTATCTGGCTTCTGAAATAGTTGGGCCAACCAAGAAAACATACCTCAGCACTTTACTTCCCTGAATACTTGGCAGCAGACATGTATGAAGTTTCAAGATAGTTCAACAGAGAAAGGCTGAAGGGAGCTGAGGTTTGGGGTTTTGTATTTGTTTTTGTTTTTTTGTTTTTTTGTTTGTTTGTTTGTTTTTAAGATAGGACTGCAGGTAAGCCTGTAGCGTATTTTCTTTTCTTTTTTTGGTGGGGGAGGAGGAGCTGAGTTTTAACATTGATTCTCAGGATGATTCTAGGAGGAAGGTGGTAATGCTACTTCCATTTCCCAGGGGAGGGCATGGATCCAGTAGCATGTGAAACTATTTGTCCGGTGTTAACAGTAGTGGATTCAGGATGCACACCCCATCCCCATGCATTCTGATGACTCCTGGTTTCCTTTTACTATCACACAATATTACCATTACGGCCTGCCTATTATAACAGCTATCTTTGGGCCGGGGAGAGCCTCACAAATCCCAGGCGGGCCTTAAACTCACCTATGTAGCTGAGGATGGCGGTGAACTTCTGATCCTTCTCCTGAGTGTTGGGGTCACAGGTATGTGCTATGTGCCACCCGTGTCTGGATGCCTGCCTCTTTTAATCCTGCCAATCTTCGGGAGCTGTTTTCTATTACTAGTATTTACCAAATGAGGGAACTGAGGCACATGAGGCATTACATTCACTTATCCAAAGTCACACGCATGGATATTTTTAAAGTTGGGATTCGATCTTAGGCCATTGAGCAGTACATAGGCCTACCCTTACCCAGTATATTACACAGGGAAAGAGAAGCCACTGCAGGGTAGACGTTTGGGCTAGAATGCAGAGGAAGCAGCGGTGGCCTAGGGGCTAATGTTAGGGGACCCTGGAGCATCCTGCTTGCTTAATGCTCCAGAAATAAGTTGACTCTGTTCACCCATATTTTTGTTCGATGGTCTCTGGGGCTAAGATAATAACAACACCATAGCCTGCTTCATTTCTTTGCCAAGCTGCCAGCCTGAAGTCCAGCAGTATTTTCCTCCCTCTAGACTCTTAGAAATCTTGCTGGCCTTTAGGGAGTTTCTACTTTTTTTTATTGTTGTTGTTTGGTTTTGTTTTCCATGTAAGTAATCTGGAGATAGAAAGACAATTAGCCAGGGTTGGGGATTTAGCTCAGTGGTAAAGCACTTGCCTTGCAAGCCCTGGGTTCAATCCTCAGCTCAAAAAAAAAAAAAAAAAAAAAAGAAAGAAAGAAAGACAATTAGCCTTCATCTAATCAAACTTTGTTCCTTTAATCATTCCCCATGTGATGTGGTTCGGGGAATTTTTATTTTAAAATATTTAGTTGTCTAAATTGCATATGTTTAAGGTATACAGTGTGATCATATACACTTATCTTGTATAATAACTACCACAGTCAAATTAATACATCCATCACCATCCATTGTTGCCTGTGAGTGTGTGTGTGTGCATGTGTGTAGGGGTGAAGACACTTAAATCTGCTCTCTTATCCAACTTCAAATAAGCAATAGAATATTAATACAGTCTCCATAATGCATATTAGACCCCCAGAAATTATTCATCTTATAGTTCAAAATTTGTTTAGCAATATTTCCTGTTTTCTACATGTATCTGCTCATTGATTTCCCCAAAATGAAGCACTTAGAACTTAAGACAAGACTCTAGGTATAGTCTGTCATTGCACAGTGTGTGAGACATTCACTTTCCTCTAGATATTATGCTTCTATTAAAAAAAAAAACCCAATGTTCTCTTGACTTTTCTCTCAGCCGTGTATGTTTCTGACTTGCCATTTCTCTTAGCTGCTATCAGCAAAGCCCAGGTACCATTTTCACGGGCACGGCTGCCACCTTCTCCCTTCCATGGGGAGCGAACACAAGCCATCAGGCTTGGCAGCAAGTGCTTTTTCCTACTGGACCATCTTGCCGGTCCATCCCCGGGGAGCCATTTGCGTCACTACTGTAAGCGTATTTATTCACACTGTTTGGGCATAGTCCTGTCGGTATGAATGGGTGTGCTGGATGAGTGGTTGTGTGCAAAAGGTGAAGAAGTAGCTTTATTCTGCCCTTCCCCTTTGCCTCCCTGTCTAATTTCCCACAGTGCTCCTATTAATTAGCAATTCCCACCCCAAATGGACCTTTAGAAAGGATGGACCATGTGACAAGGAGCATCTGACTGAAGAAAAGGGGAGGGATGTGAATGTCTGTGGTCACTCCATTGGAACAGTTACTGCATGTGACCAGGGAAAGGACATAACTCGTCAATAAAGTAGGGAGAGCCATATAACACTTGGTGCCCATCTATCTGTACCAATGTGATGATTTACCAATCTGCCAGTCTATAAATGCTTTTAAAAAGTCCTGGTGCTTTCAGAATTCTGACCAATTTGGGGGATTGGTGATGTTTCTGTATTAGGGTGTAACATCTCAAGGTAAGGCAATATGAAAGTGCCCCATGAGTGAAGATGGACAAAGAAATCAGTCACCAGATACAGGCTGCATTTCTTTAGCGAATCCTCTGGGAGAAGACAGGAGCTGGGGCGTAACCTAAGGACCTGCTGAGGGACCATTCAGGCTTCAAATAACACATCTAGCCTTGCTTACTGCTTTACGGAATCAAAGAAAATGGTGTAAATTGTTTATCTTTGAGAGAGAAAAAAATTGAGGCAGAATTTCCTATGTTGTCCAGGCTTTCAACTTCCATCGCCCTAGTAGCTGCATTATAAATGTGTTTTCTCATGGTTAAGGTCGTAAGGCTGAATCTTGAAGGAAGAATATTCATAAAAGAGCAGTCAGAAAAAATGGGGAAGGGCACAAGTCTTTGTGTGGGCTTACACTCGGGCATATTTATCTGTAGAAAAAAAAAGCTTTCTTAGAAAATGACTCAGCAGGGGAAGTCTTGTCTCTACCTCTGTCAGGCTGTGTATCTCAGGGTCTCTGAGTGAGCCCTCTTTGTCCTTCAAGTTGAACTGTGTGGCCCTAAGTCTCCCCTGCTGAGGGGACAGGAGACTTTAAAGACACTGGCTTTGTTCTGTGTCTTGCCAGCTTAGGCATCTCTTTTCTTCCTGTGCTGATCATCCCCCACAATCCTTTAGGTATGTCATCCCTTTACCCCAGGGAGGGTAATCTTGATGACCTGTTCATTCGGTCCAGCCCCATCATCTTTGGGGACTCAGCAACCCCAGCAATGGTAAGATTCTGTCAGAGCTGGACTCTATTGGTGGAAGAGGTCCCAGGCGAATGAGGGTGGGGAGAGTTGGGGGCGGGGGTAGACTAGGGACAGCGGTACGGAACCAGATACCATATTGTTAAGAAGAAAAAAAGGCATTGGTTTAAGTCAGGAAACAAAAAAAGGGAACTGAGTGGCTGTGAAAGGGTGGGGTTTGTTCAGACTGTCCTTCCTCTCTGGACTGTAAGAATATGTCTCCAGGGCCAGTGTCTTCAGAGACCGAGTCCCACCTTCCAAGTCCCGGCATCTCATTACATCTGGGAAGCTACCTGCATTAAGTCAGAACTGAGGTGGGTCTGAGGTGAGGCAGAGACTGGGCACAGCCGTAACTCCTTCTCTTGGAACCTTCAAAGGCCAGACAGGAAACATGGCTGGTTCCATATATCTGCTGGTGGAGAAGACTCACGGAGAGTGGGAGGCCACCAGCAGAAGACCCTGGCATGCCCTTCCAATGATGGAGGGGAATGTAAAGGTCTTCTGAAGACAGCCAGTGTGGTGGGGGCATTAGAGGAAGAGGAAAGACTGATTTGAACATCTGAAAAGGTAGCCAACGTTAGACACGGAGCTCTGCAGCTCTTGGTGGGAAAGAAATACCTCAGGCAGCAGTAGGGCAAAAGCTAGCCACTTTCACCAAATACTGTTTGAAGACCTGAAATGCGTCCTCGTATCAATGAGACCCTTAGAAGAAGGAATTCTAAGCAGCCGCTTAATCTGCAAAAACTCTAAAACAGCTCATGTGTCTCAAATGGCAGTGCTAACTGGGGAAAGGTCTGGGCTACATGGGGCAGATGCAACTTGGTTTGGCCTTCAACCGGCCAGATATTACCAGGATGAAAGCCGGCTTATAGGAATGATTGTGTGGAGGCTGTGGCAACCTCGTGGTAATAGTGGGTAGGAGACAGGCAGCGGAAAGCAGCCTCCACCCCAGCTGAGACGGTGTGGCCAACCCCTGAGGTCTCTGGGAAGATTTTCCTCTTACCATTGCCTACCATGTGCATGGCTGCCTTTTCTCTTGGCTTCATTATCTCTCCTCTCGTTTCCTTT